AATATTAAAAATAAAAGAACCAAGTTTGTTTATTTTTAGGTCAGAATAGATATACTCAAATGATTGCTGCACCAAGTCCATTACGAGAAAAACAAGTAGCACGATCTAGTCCAGGTAAGATCAAAACGTTTTGTGAGAAACAGAAAAGTCAAAGTTTTTTTTAAAAATTTACTAGAAGTCTTTCACCTTCCGGTTTGAGTCATTCTATTAGAGAAGTTAATGACCTATTTTCTTTTAGTTACACCACATGCAGCAGCAACAACGATTGTTCATCGAAATGATGATTCGCCATTAGCATCAGGCACAAAAAGAGCTGCTGAAACATTGCCTTGTTCTCTTCCTAAACGGAAGATTGTAATAAGTAGCAGCGGATGTGGTGGCGGCGACGATCAGTTAGATGGCAAAGAAGAAGAAGTCGATCAAAGTCAAACAAATGAAATAGTTGGTAAATTCAATCGATTAGTGAAACAATATACACAACTTGAAAAAGATTTTGTGAAATTACAACGAAAGCATAATGAGTTAAAAGCAAATACCGTTCGTAAGTCGAAGCTCAATAATTTTGGGCAGTTCAATGAACAGGAAGAGTTTAAAAGCACAATCACAACACTAAATACTTCTGAACTTCTTTTCTATTTGTTTTTTTATTATTTAGCTCGTCCAAATACAGAAGCTGCAAACTATATTTTACAATTAGGTAATGTTTTGGCTCCGAAGTCGGTTGAACAAGAAGTAAATGATAAATATGGTACATTGTTGGGAATTGATCCTGGTGTGTTACGTATGTTAAAAGAAGAGACACAAACTTTGACGACACGTGCCATCGTAAGACATTTATTTCCAAGGAATTTAAGAGACTCGATGAAAAGTGATGATTTTGACGATCACCGACGTTCAGCTATTCATGGTATGTCGAATGTTAAGAAATCCTTTTTTTGTACTTTTTACTAAAATAACTATTTGTTATTCTTCGTATTTTTTTAGATTACGTTAAATTAATTCATAGTGGCGAAATTTACAAGAAGTATAAAATTAATGAAGCTATCAATGGTGTATTTCGGTCATCCCGTTATGCAAAAAAACAATCAGTTACTTCATCAAAGGAAACAGCAGCACAACCATTAGATGTTTAGATAGAATGAATTAAAAACTAAAATTAATTTGTTTCTCTTTCTTGGTTAAAAAAATGGTCAGGTTTTTAAACAGTAGTGTAAAGAGAGCAGTAATTTTAGTTTGAAATAATAAAAATAGTAAGATCCAGAATTTCTCTTTCTTTTGAGCCTTATTCGATATGGTTTATCTGTTACTTTCTCAAAAGTGTAAAAACTTAATTCATTTAACTTTCTTTCATTTTTGCTTCAGATAAACGTGAATGTGGAATAGACGCACATTACTAAGAAGAAAACCGAAGTCACTGGCTTTTTATGAAACACAGAAATGATTTATATAATTTGCTTTATTGAAAAGAAAGAATGTTAATTTGATTTCTACATTTTTTTAGAGTGCAACTTAGATAAATCACAAGAAGCCAATGAAGCTGAATCAAATTCGAACAGCTTAAGGTGTGTTATTTTTGCTATTTTTTTCATTTCTTCACTTATCTACAGGCTCTAACTTTGTTTTCGCGTTTTAGTGACACAGAAATCAATGTAAATGATCTTTCAAGTCCTATAAATGATCATTCAACTCCTCCTTCATCCCAATTCAGTGACATACCTTGTTCTCCTGACTTCAAGAAAGAAACAAGCTCAACTTCTACACGTGAAGAAGAAAGGTGAGTATGTTTCGACTTTCTTTAAGTTCAGAAGCATAGTTTTAACACAAAAATTGTTATTTTTGTGTTCAGATACGAAAACGTTAACTCATTATTTTATAAAAAGACAATGTCCAAGCTAGATATATCAACTGCTCTTATATTACTTAAATCACGTCATAAATTGACCAACAAAGCAATTGATCATATCTACCAACTGCTACACGCGTTGGAAGTGAAGCTTGCATCCAGGAGTTGCAAGGCTGCTAAAAAATCTGTTCAACATCGATCAATTTCTAGTCTTTTAACACAGAAGTATTATATTTGTCCAAAATGTACAAAGACCTCTCTATCTAATAAGAAATGTAGCAATCCGTCCTGCACTCTGAAAGATGGTTCTGATGAAAAAGCTTTATTTTTCTATCAGTTTTCTATTAAACAGCAGCTAACAGAAATTCTAATGACAGAAAAAAATTTATGTATTCCTTCAATGGCTAAAAACTCTCCTTCTATTTCTGGTGCTTCCGCCAGAGGAATTGAAACCAGGTCAGCAATTATTAAAGATATTACTGACGGCCAGTGTTATCAACATATTTTGAACGAAGAAAATGAAACTTTCTTAACACTCATCATGAGTGGTGATGGCATTCAAGTATCAAATTCTTCAAACAAATCCTTATGGATTTTTACAGTCATAATTAACGAAATTAAAAGAAAACACCGATTTCATATAAAAAATTCAATCATAGCAGCGATTTGGCCTGGAAAAAAGAAGCCAGATAAATATCAAATACGTGAAGTTATCTCAAAGATCTCTGAGGAGCTTAAACTTTTAGAAAAACCAACTGAATACTCTCTAGCTTCACAAGGTGGTTCTTCTGTTCCCTTATCAGTGTTTTTAATTGGTTTAGCGTGCGATAAACCTGCACAAAGTATGATTCAAAACACTGGTGAATTCAACGGTGCATACGGTTGCAGCAAGTGCGAAATAGAAGGTAAATCGATTTGAGAAAAATTGAGCCCTACTTCTTTTAATTAACTCTCACAAGTTACATAACAAAATTCAAGCTAATATTTCTTTTGTCTACTTGTAGGTGACCTGGTGTTATCTGGAGCGAATGATCATCATACTATTCGAGTTTTTCCATTACCAAGTGAAGGTGAAGTTCCACCGCGATTAAGATCAAATGAAACGTATGATGACGCAATGATTATATTAGAATCTCAACGAAATAAAATAGTGACGAAAACAACTGAAATGAGAAAGAAGGAATTTCTGGAGAGAAAGGGTCATTTAGGACCGTGTTCATTAAGAAATTTAAAATACATTGACATTGGGAAATCGTTTTTATTTGATTCTTTACATACTCTTTATCATGGAGTGTTGGTATGTTTTTTCAGGTTTTTCTCAAATTAGCAGCAAGAACGATAGACTTCAGCTTTTAAATTTAATGAAGAACATGTACTGATGAAGTAGTTGAACAAAATCTGTTCTTGAAGATGCCTAATTTAGTTTATAAAGTGCATGATTTTGTTTTTACGTTTGTTAAAGGATCGCCTACTAACTCTATGGTTTGACGTCGATTATAAGAAAGAAGACTGCTCAGTTCGTCATCATATCGATTCAACTGCTGATCAGCTCTTAAAAATACGTTATCCTTCGACTACGACACGTGCTCCGAGAAGTCTCCTCGAATACACAAGATACAAAGGCAGTGAACAACGGTGTATTCTTCTATTTGGATTTATTATTTTAAAAAGGTTTCTGAAGAAAGAATATTATGAACACTTGCTCCTTCTTGTTGTTGCATCGCATCTGGCTGAAGGTCGTGAACTTCATCATTCACAAATTCAAGATATTGAATTATTAATAAAACAATTTCTTGATTTATTTCCTTATTTGTACTCAAATCGTCATATTGTTCAGAACGTTCATTCACTATGTCATTTACAACAGTCTCTTCAAGGCTTTGGTTCATTAGCACTTTACTCCACGTTCAACTTCGAAAACGTTCTTGGTAAGGCTTTTGTTTGAGTGAAGAGCACAAAGAGCGACGTATCTTAGCACCAGAATTTGCGTTTTTGGAATAAATTTCGCTTATTCTAACTAAAGTGTCGAAAGTTGTTGCAACAACTAAATTTTTTGCTCTATTAGGCTCCATCACGTCAACGGTTCATGAAACTATTAATCATACAACAGAAATCAAAAATAACCTTAGCTCGTTACGTGCAGCTCACTATATTTACACTTCTCCACCTTCGATTACTTATGAAATTAAAAATCTTTTGGATAATTTTCTCTCTACGAAACGTATAAATGTATCATCAAGTGCCAAATATACAAGTTCAAAACATGTAAAGGTGTATGGAAAGATTGAAATTAACAACAGCGACCGGATAGAGATTAGGACACTATTTAATACAAATGATATTGAATGTTTTAATACATGTTTTATTGGTTCTGTCAGATTCACTTCCTCAACTTTTGCTGCTGGCAAATGTTTTGATGATTCGTGTGTAACTTACAGAATGAAAAATCAAATTCATATAGGTTTCATAAAACAAATCATTCTAAGGAAAAACGTTGTGATTTTCAAGCTACAGCAGACTCAGTTGGATCATTGTTTATATGCGAATGTGAACGGGAAGATTATTACATGTGAAAATATTCAAGTTCGATACAAGCTCAACAAATTTCATTATTTACGTACTGAAAATATTATAGAAAAACTAGTGTATTTAACTGAACAGAGACCGTTATATTTTACTTCATTCCAATATCCTAACCTTTATGAAAGTTCCTAGTTAGAAATGGCATCAAGCTCTTGTTCTCTTTACAGAAGATCGAACAAGTATTTAGAAATCCTTTGTACTTTAAACCTGCTCTGTCAGTTCATCGACTGTATAGTTTTTTAAATTCATTTCAAAATTGACTTTTAACTATTCTGTATCAATTGTGATATTTTTGCAATCAAATGAACAATAATCGATTAAATAAAAGCAAATGACTCAACGAACAGTTAAATTGTCTTGGTTCTCCTCCTCTCCCATTCTACAGAAGTCCTTGGTGAACATCACCAGTACAAACTTTTTGGACTCCGTTTTCATTCAGTACTGTGCATACAGTCTAACTTCTGTTATTAGTATTTGCTAGAAGTTTTTTTGACTGAAGTTTTTCACGGCAAAAGTCTTTAAACACATCCGAATGCGCTTATTTTCCAGATAGTAGTTCATCTAAAAACAATATATATTAAATGCTCGCAAACGCGTCCACAATTCATACGCTCTGACGCGTTCTACAATAGACGTTTGCCCACTGTACTAAAAATCCTGGTTACGCCGCTGCACTCGCTGACCGTACATGTTCGGTAGCAATCCGGTAGAACACACATTCGCTCACATTGTACTTTAGTTAGTCTATTTTCTCATTGGTTAGTTCCTTCAAAAACTTCAATTTCATCCCATTTGTCTGTAGTTCAGACTAGGCATGCAACAATCCTAAGCTAGGCTTGTTCTCGCTTCTCCGAGGGTGCGACGAGGACACAGAAGTCCCGAACATCTCTATTCGACGGCTCGAGATTTTTCTTGGGTACTCGCTATCTATCTGAAGGCTTGAAGCCGATACCCCTAGAATGCTTATATCGAAGGCTCGACGTGTCATTTTCCGAGAGTTCGAGCCCTCGGCAAAGGCCCATCGAAAGCCTATTTTCGAGCACTCGAAGTACCCCTCCAACAACTGGTTGAGATAATTTTGATTCGATGCTCCCAAATGTGCTCATGGAGTTTACAACTACTAAAAAAGTTCAGAAAGTTTTCACAACTTTTGGAAAATTGAAGTGATTCTTCGAGCTTTACACATATGTTTGTATAGTAAGAATAAAATTACGAATGTGAATCACAGTTACAGAAGAACAAAAATATTTACTGCTTTAGATAGAAAGCTTTCTAGATGAATAATCATAAGTTTACATACAATTCAAACAAAACAATTATATGAAGGAAGGCTTGCACGTGTTGATTATTGTTGTCCACAACATTTAGTGCCGTTCAATAGTGTAAAAAATTTAGGTGGCATATGTTACGCTGCCGATTATGTAAATAGGACTGATGATTGTAATCCAACCGCTTGTACGCCATTTGCTACAGTAAAAGGTTTGTGTTCATGCTTTTCTACAATTTATTCACTGTCACATTTTTTGTAGTTTAAAAAAGTTACACAACTCACATCGGAGAGTGAAGACGATATGGTTACTATTATACAAGACCTACCCTTGTTTGTCGGAATTGATGCCAGCGAAACTTCATTTCAATTTTGTACTGATGGTATGTATATATACCACTATATGTTTTAACTAACTGTTGTCAGTTTAATTTTGATGTTCCAGATATATATGAAGATAGCGCTCGCCAGCAAACCGAGATAGATCACGCTGTAATATAAATCCTCGATCAGCTTCTTGCGTTGGAAATAGAATTAAGAACATATTTTCTGTTGTTTTTTTTCAGTTACAGCTAATTGGGTATGGTAAGACAGATGAGGGTGATTTATATTGTATATGCAAAAACAGCTGGGGTAAGTGTATATTTCGAAATATTATAAAACTCAATAAAATACTGAAATAAAACATAAAATATTCACTGATTGTGTAGACAACTACGGCATTTATTCTTGAAAGGGAAAAGGTTTCTTTTAGAGAAAAACCGGTTGCCCTCGTAAAGAATTTGCGCTTTAATGAGTTATATTCTCGTAAAAGCTATTGTATCTCGTACAGTAAACATTTCTCTAAAAACTAGTATGGATTTTATATTTCTGAAGAGGAAAAAAAATCTCATTATTTTTGTGCACGTTTTCCAGATAACCGCAAAATCAGTTTTGGAGCTATTGTTAAAACCGTTGTATTTCTGAAACGGTTCATTATCTATCGTCGGTAGAAAAAGAGAATGGACTCGAATGTTTTTTTTATGGTGTTCGACAAGAAAATGATAAAGACTTCTGGCTTTCAATAATCGAAAGCCAAGACCCGACTGCATCTTTTCATCATGAAAGTCATTTTGAAAATCGTTTTTCGAAGTTTTCCGAAGGATCTTTGAAAAAGCAGGTCATTACTCAAAAACTTAAATATAAATATTTTGATTCTTTCATATGGGTAAGTAACGCAAGGTGTCCTCTTCAATATGGGAACCAAGCAAGGCATTGGTTTTTAGTGGTTCGGGTGTGGTATTGAACTTTCTTGGAGTCTCAAGACTAGTATCTGATGACTTAGAATCACATGGAACACAAGTAGTTCACCACTCTGCAGCTATTGGCAAAGTTTGTTGTGGGAAAGAACTCCAAAACTTAGTGGAAAGGGAGTTTTACAAACAGTGCGGTTTCCAGATCGTTTTCGCACTAATATTAAAAAATTTAAAAAACCCTATGATTTTCTGGAAGAACTTCTAACATACCTTTGAATAAAACTATGGTTTTCGATTTTTTCAATCGTATAATTAAGTTTAGCGACCAAAATCAACCACATCTTGAAATTTTGAAGTCTACCTGATGTTTTTTAAGTGATTTGTAAATTTTTTATTATTATGCGAAGACAATCTGGAAACCGCACTACTTGTAAAACTCGCTTTCCAGTAGGTTTTGGAGTTCTTTCCCACAACAGACTTTGTCACTGGCTTGAGCGTGGTCGACTACGTATGTTCCACGCGATTTTAAGGCTACTCTAAGTCACCAAATACTAGTCTTGAGACTCCAAGAAGGTCCAATACCACGCCCGAACCACTAAAAACCAATGCCTTGTTTGGCTCCCATATTGAAGAGGACATCTTGCGCTATTTACCCATATGAAAGAAGACTTTCATGATGAAAAGATGCAGTCAGGTCTTGGCTTTAGATTATTAAAAGCCGGAAATCTCTATCATTTCTTGTCAAACGGTATAAGAAAAACATTCGAGTCCGTTCTCTTTTTTTATTTTTCATTAAAATCGAGGCATGTCTTATTTTGTAGAGAAATATTTCGTGTATTTGATAAACTATCAGAAGCTTCCAAATAGCTTTTAAATTTATTGCAGCGATTGTTCTAGACAGAACAAAAATTCAGCTACGTTACTTGGACAAGCTGAAAAACTAGTTCTTGAATCTTTTTTTGATTTCTTTCATATAAATCTGTTTAAATCAAACTGTCACAAAAGAAAAAAAAATATCATTTCAATACTATTTTATCTTTTTCTAGGTCGATCATGGGGTGAAGGTGGATATATTCGAATTTTACGAGGAAAAAATATGTGCAGCATTGCTAGTTATGAAGCGTGTGAATAAAGCATGTGGACATACGTTTTTCAGACATTCGGAACTTTTTTTCTTTTTCTGCCACAGAAAGCGTTTACTTATTAAAGCAGGATTGAAAGTTGAACCATTTCTTGAGGTGATCATTTTCAAAATGAAGAGTAAAACTAAACGTTACCTTTTTAAATATTATAGTAAGAATACTATACTCGAGACGTTTTGCAAGTTTACTACTGACATTCTGTTCTGCTGTTCGTGAAAAGACACCTAAGGGGAACTCGGGACGAGAAAAACTTTCATGGGCTCGGGCTTACGGGGTCGAGACAAGTCGCAAAAATGTTGGCCATCAGTTTTGTCTTTTTTGATTATAATTATGCTGCAACTTCAAATGTTTAATTCCTGTAACACTATCAAATCAAAGATGTTTCATATAACTCCGTTTACGGTTCTTTTCTTTCGATCCTGAGGTAGTGAGCGGATGTATACCAAAATATTCAGACAATGATTGCGAACAAACGTTTATTTTATTACTAGAATCAGAGGATACTTTGCACAGCATGTATTAGAAAAATGCTGATTTTCTACTTTTACCATCTTACAACCTACCGGTAGCCAAGTTGCTTATAGAGGGTTATACACAGTAATCCTTGTTTTATTCATAATATATGCGATAAAACATACAGCGAAAGAAAAACAAGACAATAACGCACGAAAAAAGTGTACTTTGTAGTTTAGTGGTTTCTTTAAAGGTGAGGGTAATGAGGTAAGACGTTGAGTTGATCTCACTTTTTCAATGCATTGACGATTATGGTTTCGCAAGTCGACACTACTGGGCATGGACAAACGTCTTACCTCATTGCCCAAAAGGTTATTGTGGTCATCAGAATCTTTATGGGTATTTATCAACGTTAATAGATCATTGTGAAGGACTAAGTTGGCACAAAAAATAATAGGAAGCAACAATTAATCATCTCACACTTACTGGTACCACTATCATCGCCAGCGTGATCATTATTTCCAATGTCAGTCACTGCGCTGTGAGCAGTAACTATAATACGACGAACACATAGCTCACTGGAAAAGCGATTAGAAGCATTGAGACTCTCACTATCCTCATCAAATTCTATCAATTGTTGATCAAGAATCGATGCAAATATGGCAGTTGCTGGATCGAATTCCATTAACTTAGCACCGCTTTTCTATCTATAATTTTGTTTCTCATAGTACTTAAAGATACCATTAAATAACTCAGCTTTTTCTCTTCGAATATCGATGGCCTTTTGACGATTCGCTTGACATCGCGCCCACTCATATATCGTTTCCAACAGTTCTCCATCGGAAAACTTAGAAAAATCAGTGGTATCACCTGGCTACAATACACAGAAATCGTAATAAATTCATGGTCATACAGCGCTCTGGCTTATACCTGAATGACATAGTGATCTTACATCATTTGATCAGTCAAACGTTGGCGTCTGTGTTGCACATGTATTCACCATATTGTTTTACTTATCTAAAACCTGCTATGCGCTGATGAAAGTAAAGCCAGGAACAAACTTAGCTCTCTTTTGAAAAAAGAAACTTCTGTTTTTCTATCTAAATTTATGCATGTTTTGAAAAAACTAGTTTAGAAGTGAGAATTGATTTGGTGAAGCAGTTGAATTTGAGAATAATTGAAAACTGAAATATAAAACTGCTGTAAATATCATGATTAACTAATTACAGTGATCACTGTGATTAGTTAATCATGATGATTGCGACATTTTTATATTTGAGTTTTTATTTGGTTTAGGGGTAGTTACAGTAAATTGCTCAAAATGTTCACTGTATTTAGATTGATGGGAGAAACATAATTTGGGGCAGTGGTTAAAGGTCGCGGTAGAGAATATGAAAATTGATGAGAAAAGAATATAAAATCAAAGCAAACAAAGACATGCAGTGATTGAAAGTATCTCTTTTTGCTATAGTCGCGGTTATTTGCACAGAAATTGCTAAACAGTATTTACGGTATCATGATACCGTACCACTAGGACTAATTTTGATGCGTTCTCAGTTTGTCAAATGAAACAAAAATGAATAGAAGTACTTTCACGTTTCACCAGCATACGATAATAAAGCTGACACATATTCCTTCAACCACCGATTTCGTTCTTCACACGCTTGAGCAGAATGTTTCGATTAGATTTACACATCTCACGAGTATGGTTTGTCTGATGCATACGATAGATATGCATATCGAAGCCGCTGATAAACTTTGAATATCGTGTTTCGCTAATTGATCGCTGATCGTTTCTTGAATACACATAAACAGTACACGCGTTGTCGTACATGAATGTTCTTGGCACTAAAACCGTCAAATTCTTCTCAACACCCTTTGAGCATGTTCTACGAGCCGTGTCTAGACAACTCTGCTACTAAACCTGCGTTCACGGTAATTTAAAGTCGAACTCGAACTTTCGAACCCGAACTTTTTGAAGTTGAACTTAAGTTCGACTTAAGTTCGAAAGCAGAACACTTCGACATCTAGCGTCTTCGAACTCGAACTGTTTGAAGCCGAACGTCGAACGTAGGTTCGGGTTCGTAACATCCCTAGTTGAGAACGTTGACCACTTAAACGAGAACGATCAAAGCTATGATTTTTGCTTGCTAACGTTTATAACAGATGCACAGACGATTGACGCACAAAAGCATAAGACGTAGTTTTGTCACTCAACGTTTGTATCACCTTTCTCTTCCTCACATTGAAAATAGGTGTTTGATTAAGATTGATTAATGGAGGTGTATACATGTAAGCTACTGTTCATAATATTGACTCTGCTGAGAATCGATGAATTAGGTCATGTCTCGTGTGCTTAGGATTGCAGTCATGCAAACATAATTTATATATCAAGTTTCATATTATAACTGTAAGAATGTTTTAAGACACTTGCTACAGACACATATATATGACAGGTATAATTCATAATTCATAAGAGTAATGCAAATTATATTAACCGGACATTGTGAACGATCACATTTTAGTAGCAGATCGGAGATATAGATGGACAATATTGTAAATGTCGTATTCGAGTGTACAATTTGTAAAAGAAACCACTAAACTACAAAGTATAAAAAAATACCAACAAAAAATTTAAAAATATAGGACATGGAAAGCATCGTCGAACAATGGTGATATCCAAAACGTCACCGTCTCTCATATCAGAGAACGGTGTTACAAGACGCATATGGTTTTGTGGAATGTTCCCTAACGGAGCACGCCTTTTTTCACTTTGATGGTTTAACTGAATGATATTAAATTAAAAGGTAAGGTAAATCAAAGGATAAAGCTGAGGCGATGGCTTAACAGAAACCTCTGTAATTTGTTAACTAATGTTTCAACAGGGGCTACAAGTGAATGCTAATCATCCTAGTCGGAGTCAATCTGCAAAATTTGAACATGTTGTCCACGAACCTCTAGTATACTAAGTCTTTGCAAATCCAAAAACTTAAATTGACCGGTAGCTATCCGTTGTTATGCACAATAACAAATCCAGGGACCACAATTTCGACCGTCTCGTTGTAAAACAATGTTTGGATTTTCAATTACAGTATAATCTTCGCACACTATACCGCTCTTTCTTCAGACATCATTGTGAATCGAATGACTTAACGGATCTGTGTAATAGATACCTGGATACAGTATCTGAATAACAGATTATCAGTATTGTCCAATGATTACGATCTAAATTGATTGAAAGTATAATTTCATTCGGTTGGTTAGCAGTGATATTTGCTTTCTCTGGGATAATACGCTGCATATACAACTCAACATCATTAGAACCTGAATTTACCTCCTGAGCAGTATGATTTGTACCTAACATGCGGTGTAGCACCTGGACTCTGAGGCTGATTATTTCATTCATGGTTCGGTACTCGGCAGTAAAATAATGACTAACAGTTTCTATGTTATCTGCCGTGTAACAATTGTTTGTTTGTCTGTCAAACCATATTTCGCATGTGTTGAAAAAGGTTTCTTCTTCCTCGAAGTTGGTTTCGGGCTTTTACTTTTCAATCTTTCATTCGATTCAGTAGGTTTTCGTTTTCTTTTCGAACCAGTAGATTTAAGCGTCGTTGAAGGTATACTTTTTTCCGCCGGTGTGATACGAAGTGGTAAATCCAGTTTCTCTGCTATTTCGTTACTATTAGTAATTTTTTCAATTTCATTAGATTCGACAATTAAAGTAGCATCACATTAGCGCAAAATCGACTTTTTATAAGGAGGACAGAATCAGTTCAAATTTTTTTTCTGAAGAGCTTATTATATGAATCGACGGTCAGCAAAGTATCTCTTGATTCAAATCACTTTTCGCACTTTGGCGCGAATAGTGGCGCTTACTATTTGCGCCAAAATGCGAAAAGTGATTTGAATCAAGAGATACTTTGCTGACCGTCGATTCATATAATAAGTCTTCAGAAAAAAAACTTGAATCGATTCTGTCCTCCTTATAAAAAGTCGATTTTGCGTTAATGCTATACCAGTACAGCCACCGAAATGCCAAGATTCTCATGAAAACTGTAATAATTATGAATAAATACTGCACGAAAAGATGTTTCATCAACAAAGTTTACATAACATCTATCGATACATGTAGAAACTCGTTCGTTGCTGGTACTGCGTGGAATAAACTTAGAAATCTCATCTCTAGAAAACTTTCATCAATTATGACTTTTATTTTCTGACAATGAATTTTCATTAATATCTGCTACGATCATTATACGGTTTTTTTTACCAATAACATGCTTAATCGATTGTAAAGCACTTAAAAAGTCTGTTTTGCTTTGCTTGGTATGTCGATAAGCTATACTAAAACGTGCAAATTTATTGTTGATAAATGAACAGCCGTATATTATACATTAAATGAATCTATAAGTAGAACTGCAACCTGTTCTGCCTTAAGGCAAAGAACATCCGCACGAACTAAATTATAGTGATTAGAAACATCTTTAAAATGAGGAACAAGATCTTCAACATTTAAATATGCAATATTAAAATG